AAAATCCGGAAAAGCTTAAAAAAACTACTACTTAAACTTGATTAATAAATAAAAATGACATAAAACGCAAAATACTATAAGAAAACAAAGAACATACTCAAGTTTTTTGCCACACATGCTTAAAATCGATAACAACATTTTATACGATCCACAAATTGTAGCTCATGAGTTTAATAAATTTTTTATTGAAATTGGTCCAATCAGATATCAGATAAAATTTCAATTACAAAAACTTCTTTTAATGATTTTTTAACACCTATTGATAAATTCGCTCTGATGAACTATCGTCCGAATTATCCTTTAAAAAGTTTGAGAAAGCTTTTAAAACCTTAAAAAAAATAAAGCAACTGGACCTGATGAAATTAACGGAAATATAGTTATAGATTGCTATGAACAAATTAAGAATATTCTTTTTAAAGTCTTGAAAGCATCCATCGAGCAAGGAATTTTCCCTGAGCGCTTAAAAATAGCTAAAATTAATCCAATTCATAATGAAGGCGACAGATCCAATATTAATAATTGTCGCCCCATCCCTATCCTACCTATATTCTCTAAAATCCTAGAAAGAATTATGTCTAACAGAGTTAATAATTATCTTAATAACAATAACCTACTATACAACAATCAATTTGGTTTCAAAAAAGATAGTTCAACTGAGCATGCCATTATTTAATTTGTACGCAACATCTCCAAATCATTTGAAAAAGCTCAATATACATTAGGTATTTTTATAGATCTATCAAAAGCATTTAATACGGTTGACCATATTATTTTAATACAAAAAATGAAATATTACGGTTTAAACAATAGTGCTTAACCTTGTTTTATAAGCTATTTAACAAATCGTAAGCAAGTAGTCTATAGTAATAATGGCGTTCAAAGTGGATCCTTAAATATAATCTGTGGTATTCCACAAGGTTCTATTCTTGGACTGCTGCTATTTCTTATCTATATCAATGATCTAAACAAAGCCTCTAACCCGATGAGTATTATTTATGCAGATGACACTAACTTATTTCAATCCCACACTGATGTTTACAAACTTTTTTCAAAAACTAATAATGAACTTATAAACATTAATAAATGGCTTGAATGTAATAAATTAACGTTAAAATTACTAGCTTTAAAAAAACTAACAAGACTAAATGGATTCTTTCTCACTCCCTCTCAAAAAAACGTTATTTACCAGATATTATGCCTTAAATTTATATTGATGAAATTTTAATAAAAAGAGATAGGTGTTTATCTTGATGAAAATATTGCTTGAAAAAACCATATTAATCATATAAGCACCAAGGTATCTAAAAATATTGGCATTTTGTATAAATCCCGATCTTACTTAAACAAAAAAGACTTATACAGCTCTATTACTCATTCATACACAGCTATATAAACTACGCAAATATTCCATTGGGTAGTACCGAAAAAAGTAAACTACAACGTCTATATCGCCAACAGAAACTTGCGATTCGCGTAATTAACTATGTGGATCGCTCTGCACATTCAAAGTCTTTCTTTGATGAAATGAAAATACTTTATGTCTACAAACTTAAAGTCTTTAATATTATGTTTAGCTTATATGTGGAAAAACAATTTATCCCTACCTGTTTTTAACGACCTTTTTACGTTAAAACTTACTTATAAGTACTCACTAAGAAACAGCGATTCGCTAAACGAACCATCTTGTAGAATAAATTTTAATAAGTTTTGTATTAATTATCGAGACCTTACCTTTGCAATAAAATAATTCTCCCTAATTTTGATCCTTTTATCCGTTTTTCTATTTTTAAAACTGTATTAAAAAATTTTTTTTCTTGCTATAGATGACATTTTAAGTTACTATTAATTTGAAATATAAACTTGATTTATGAGATTTATAGAAATATTTATATTAATAAAAAGTTAAACACCCGGACTAATGATACGGGTTCAAATCCTGCCACCGCCAACTCAGTACTACGGTACGCAATAATGTTGGTCAATAACGGATGCTACTTTGGATTAGTCTTAATGACTATTTGTGGCTGATCCTATGCTAAGCCAACAATATCTTTGGATATAAAAACATTGTATAAAAAAATATAGCATGAAAACTCAAATAAATAAAATAATAAATAAAAAATAAATGAATAATAGATTTATTTTCTTTGAACTCCAATAGTTACTTTTAGCAACTATTCTAATTCTATCTAAATATTATTTATATAATATTAGTTTAACATCTAATTAAGAAATATATTCTTTATGTAAATATAAAAAAACCGCTATAAACAAGAATCAATTTTTTTTTATTATTAGTGTTTGTACAACTTAATTCTGATAAAAAAACTTAATCTAATTAACTTAAAGGGTATAGAAAAATTATTTGTACACGCAATATCAAAATATTTTATTAATTTTATTTATTTTTAGATTCAGTTTTATTCTTGGGTACTTCTACAGACGTACTAGACTTACCCTAGATCCGTCCCTAGTTTATATTAAATTTGTATATATAATATAAAAATTTACGTTCTTATTTTAATGAATAAATTATTTCGAATCGCTGCGTTTCAAGGTCTTCAAAACTATAATATTTTATGCTGTTTTTGCGCCAAAAATTTTCTAAAATATTTAAATGTAAATAGTTGTGTTTTTGATAAAAATCTGATAAAAATACGGCTAACTAAAACACTTTCCCTATTTGAATGACTAAACAAGTAGTAATAAAGTTGTCTTGATAAGATATATTTTATATGTTATATTTATCAAAAACAAATTGTAACAAATATCAGCCATCGCATAATAGCATGAAGTAATTTATAAACTTTCTTTTTATAACCTTGTTAAGTTTGTAGACCTGTAGGCCAGGGTAAGCGAGGTGTACGCTTTATATATATATTTGTAAAAGGCTTTTACAAATATATATACAGGGCCGCCAAGAGGGGAGGGGGCAATTGAAGTAGTTTGCCCCGGGCATCACAGTCTATGGGGCATCACATGCCTTAAAAAAAAAATTATTGAAATGATAAAAAATTTAGCTGATAACGTATTTAAAGATTAAGCAATTTTTGTGTATTAATTTCTTTCTCCTTTTAAACTTTGTTTGCATTCAAAATAGGATAATTATTACTTTACAAGGTTTTCATTATCCATTTGAACGCACGCGTTTTCATTGGCCTTTTGTTCGCATGATAGAATAAAAAGCGTTAAATTTTTTTTTTCTTATTTAACGTTTGTAAAAGCCTGACTTCTAATAGTTAACTTATTTTTGCTTAAACCTTGCGTCCCTGTGAATACTTTTGTGCATATGTATGTTTTTGACTCGCCTGCATTTTGTTCCGACTATATTTTGACAAGAAACTTATCTTCAGTGGATATTTTAATTGTAAGTACTGACTTTTTCTCTGCAATTAATAACACCAAAGTATTATAAAGTTTTTAACTCGCTCTCGATGATGAAGTAAAGATTCTAAATGGCCTTTTGATGGATCTGGATCGAATCCGTCTGTCTTGGGACCTGATTTTGATAGAGGCAACAGAAGTTGCAAAGAACTTGAAATTTGATAAAATAATGTTTACTGTGAAGAGAACGCGAAAAAAGATCATCTTAGATGAAACTGATGGTTACAACCACGAAGAAGCATCAAAAAACTTTGAGTGTAATGTCTTCAATGTTGCACTCGACAATCTGACTAGTCAAATGAGATCAAGATTTAAAGTCATAGAAGAGAAATGTAGCAAGTTTTAGAAGACTTATGTAAAAACGAATTTTCTGATGAAGTTCGGCATTTTTTTTCCGTAAGAAGAAATATTCTAGCCAGCGAAAAGCCTGTCGAACTTCTAAATGAAGTTTATGCAAAGAGGCTGCATTCAATATTTCCGCAAGTGTGTGTTTCTCTTAGAATCTTTCTAACATTGCCCGTTTCAACATCTGAAGGAGAAAGATCTTTCAGCAAGTTAGCTATCATCAAAGATTATCTTCGTTCCCCAATGGGCCAGGAGCGATTGTGCTACTTGATGATCTTTTCAATCGAATCAGATTTAGCCATTAACGTTAATTATGAAGAAGTTATTTCAAATTTTGCTGCTAAGAAGGCCCGGAAGATGTGTTTGTCAATTAAGAATTGATTTTATCATAGTTTGTTCTTGCAAACCAAAATTAAATGTGATTTTAGGTTTTTTATGAAAGTAAACTATATTAATTTATTTGCTATTTTAAGACCTGAAGTATGATAGGGCATCCATTAAACTTTTGGACCCGGGCATCACAAAAGCTCTGGGCGGGCCTGTATATATATATATATATATATATATATATATATATTATATATATATATATATATATATATATATATATATATATATATATATATATATATATATATATATATATATATATATATATATATATATAAACTAGGTCTCCGAAAAGAAGGAACTAGGTTTCCGAAAAAAGTTAACTAAGATCTTGTTATCGAAACCTTAAAAAAAACAACTATTAACGGAATCTTTTATATAAGCAAAACTATAATCAATATAAACAAATTGTATATAAATATAAAAACAATAGAAATGGTTTTAAACAACATTTTTTTTTTTTTTTTTGGTATTTGTTAAAAATTACAAAAAATATATTGCAATAATAGCAAACCCTAGCCGGATGAAGACAGACTTGTCTTATCACCGAGCCCCGTTACAATGTTGTTTTTAAACGTGTTTACATTACGTTTTACTAATAAGTGGTAAAATAAAATAGGATAAGTATCTACAAACCTCCAACAATAAAATAAATTTTCGCCAATAATTTTTCAGCGGAATAATTAAAAAATAAAGATAAAATAATACAAAAGTCAGATAGTCGTGAAAGTTATAATTCACAAAAAATCGCGTTACGTTTTATTAAAAATAGTCCAATATATACATAAATAATTAGTGCTGATTAATAAATATCAACAAAAACTGTAAACAAAAACAGTAAAAAAAAATAAATAATGATAATTAGGTTTTTTTTTTTTTTATATAACTATAATTAAGTCTTTATAAATAAGATACAGTAGAGTCCTTGTGCCCACCTGTTACAGACCACCTGAAGGTGGTATAACAAACTTTTCAATTCACAAATTCACAAATATTTCTAAAAAATAACAAAGAATATAAAATATTATTCTGTATTGGGGACATAAATATAAACTTTACAATTAATATGCTGTTACCAAAACTTTTTTTGACGATATGTTTCAACAGTACATATTTCCTATAGTAAACAAACCAACTCTAACAACTAATAACATTAAATTCAATCACTGCAATAGACATCATATTGACTAATTCGTTTTATGATACTTCATTAAAAGCAGATGTAATCAAAACGGATATATTCGATCACTTTTCGATATACTTTTTCTTGAAAAAATTCAAGAAATAAAAAATAATAACTCTAAAATCAAAGTTTTTAAACGAAAAATCAATAATTTTACTATTCAACAGTTTAAAGACTCACTATCGGCAGTGAAGTGGGACAGGATGTACCAAGAATGCAACTTTTGGCATACCAGCTCCGCTTATAATGAATTTATAGAAATATTCTTAAAGCACTATGATAAGCACTTCCCTATAATAAAATATGTCCATGGATTACTAAAGGTATAAAAAAATCTTCAAAAAAAAAAAAAAACTTTACATCAAGTATTTAAAAAATAGAAATAAAAAAAATCTAAATACTTACAAACAATACAAAAATTTATTTGAAAAAATTAAAAAAAGTTCGAAGAAAAATTACTACTCAAACCAAATAAAAAAGGCAACTGGTGACATTAAAAAAACATGGAATACTATAAAAGAAATAATTGGGAACAAAAAGTTAAATCAAGTAATTTACCTGCTCAAATCGTCATAGAAAATATAGAGCACAGTGAAAAAATTACGATTGCTGAAAAATTCAACGATTTTTTTGTTAACATTGGCCCTAAACTTGCCTCAACAATTAAATCTTCTAATAATTCATTTAAATCATACCTAAGTGATATCCAGAGCGAACTAAAATACAAAAAACTACTAAGAACTTAATGTTCCTTAAAATTAAATAAAACTCCAGTTATTGATGATATCTGTAGTAGGGTAGTGGCAAATGTCTTTACAACAATATTTAAATTTTTAAATCTTCCATTAAAACAGGAGTTTTACCAGAAAAGTTAAAAATTGCTAAAGTAGTACCAATATTTAAAACAGATAAATCTTACTTACTTAACAACTATAGACCTATCTCGGTACTTCTTACCTTTTCTAAACTTCTTGAAAGAATAATCTATAACAGATTGTATGAGTATTTAATCCAAAATAAAATCTTAAATAAAAAGCAATTTGGTTTCCAAAAACAATATTCAACTGAACACGCAATCCTAGATCTAGTTTAAAATAAAAGTGATTCTTTTGATAAAAAACAGTATGTTCTAGGCATCTTTATAGACCTGTCAAAACCGTTTGATACTGTAAATCATAATATCTTACTTAAAAAAAATGAGATGCTCTGGGATAAAAAACATAACCATTGACTGGTTCAAAAACTAAGCAATAGACAACAATGTGTTTTTTCAGATAATTATAAACACTCAAAACTGCAAAGAATTGAGTGAGGTGTCCCCCAAGGTTCCATGATTGGACCTCTTTTGTTTCTTCTATATATTAAAAACCTTACAAAAGCATCGAAAAAACTTGATGTAATTATGTTTGCCAATGACACAAACTTATTTTATTCCTCGAACTCAATCAAGGACCTATATGAATGTATAAACAAAGAGCTTAAAAATTTAAAAATTTAAAAATACATATTGTTTCATTCCAAAGAACAAAGAAATAATATACCAGCTATTCTTCCCTCGCAAAAAATAGACCATTTAAACATTGATAGAGCAGAATCAGCTAAACTTCTTGGGATATTTATTGACAAAATATATCTTGGAGAGCCCATATAAGTACAATGAACACCAAAATTTCAAAAAATATTGGGATACTCTGCAAATTTAAACCTATGTTGTTCCAACTTAACCTTAAATCGCTTTGTTTTTCTTACATCCAAAGTTATCTTACGTACGCTAATATTACATGGGCAAGTACACACAAATCCAAATTGACTACTATTTATATAAGTCAAAAACATGCATCAAGATTAATTTATAATAAAGATAAATTCACCTATGCTGAACCCTTACTAAAAACCTTATATGCACTAAATGTTTACCAAATCAACATCTACCTAAATGTACTATTTATGCTTAAATAAAAACTTGGACTAGTCCCATCGCATTTTTTAGATAACTTCTTTCAAGTAAACTCTAATAGATATATAACAAGAGCAACAGGTTCACACTGCCTAAAAGAACAATAAAGTTCTCACGGTTTTCTATTTCCGTTAGGTCTTCTTGGGGCACCTAAATAACAAAAAAAAAAAAAAAAAAAGAGAATCCAGTTAACTCGGACCGTGGATAAGTCGGAAAAATTTTCAATTCCCTTTAAATTCTCTATTCATACCGAACGCTTCACTAAACTTAAGTGAAGTGTTCACATTGTTTAAGTTTTTTTTTACTATTTGATGTAAATTTTTTTATTTGCAAATAAGATCAATTTTATTTTTTCAAAAAAAAAAAATCTTTTTTGTTTTTATTCTACGTGCCTCTAAAAGTTCTGTCTTATCAAGAACATCTTGGTCTTTGTAAAAGTTGAGAGGAGGGGGGCATTTGTATACACTCAAAGCATAAATATGCTTTAGTGGCTGTTCAAAAATAACACTCGTTGTGAAAGAGGGTATTAGAAAGTGTCATCAATTATCTTATGGGAAATGGAGTGGTTAGCTACATTGTGGCGTTACACATTTATGCTAATAATACTTATTTGATGCATGCATACATTACTGCTGAAATATAATACATTCTATTAAAATTGATGCCTACCAGTGAGCTTGCAATGAGCTAGTTATAGCATCAAGTTTAGTGTAATTAAAACTCTTTTAGTAGGTTTATTTAAAAATGCGCGACGTCACGTTAACGGAACTATCTTTCTTGTTCAAGAAAACATTTAAAGCTGTACTAATGGGTACACGGACAACCGGGTACCCGCCCGTTGGTTACTGCCTGGGCAGCATTATCAAATGACGGGTAACCGTTGTTCATGCAAAAAAACAAAATATTTCAATTTAAAAATTATCAATTCTAACTTTTTTTTTTGTTTTCAATTAATAATTGAAATAAAACAATTTAACAATATGAATTTGATATGTATATTAAGATCTTGACGAAATGGTTTCGATTTATTTATCACCGTTAGAATTTCTGAAAGTTGAACAAAAACGTTCGTGAAGTTATTTGAGTTTCTGATTTAGAAACCCACCTTTTATTCTTCACTTTATATATAATGTTTTCTTTTACGTATATCAGAACTCCTCCAACTTGTTTAGTAATATGTCTCTATGACAACATTTATGAAATCTAAAAGATGGAGAGTCAGCAAAGCAAATTATATATAAAATGTCTTCAATTTCTTATTAAAAAGGTATACAGTTTTTCGAAAAAAAAAAATTGTTTTTAACAGTTACCCGGGCAAGCATTTTTGCGATTTTTGACAGCCTTAAAAACCACCCAACCTCCCTCGGTAAATATGCAATTATCAAAATGGGAATGACGTAGTGGAGCGTAAAATTTTGTGACATAAGTGTATAACGGTTATACATAAAGCTTTAAATCTCAGTAATAAATTTTTTTTTGATAAAAAATTTAAAACTTTTTTTTTCATTATGAAAATGAATAAAAAAAAAATTGTTATGAATTTTTTTTTAAGTACCAAAAATATAATGCAAAAGTTTCATTATTATATTTTATATTTTTATTTATTTATTATATTATTATATTTATTATATTATATTATATTTTTTTATCATTTAGTATTGAACTTTTTTGAATATTATTAGTTTTATTGAAATGATTTTTACGTGTCTTATACGGACAGCAAGTTATTTTTATAATTAACTATATTACAACAATTATATCTAGCTATTTTTCAATGATTGTTTTATTTTTAAGCTGAGTTATTGTTTGCCTTAATTTAAAAAAGCTAAATATTTCTTTATTTTATTTTTATCGCTTTTTTTTTTTAGAGTATGGGCGTGTAGTTTATGCAGATATGTGATTTTTTTGAGAGCGTAATGTTCGAACATGTTCAAATAATAGATAGCGAACATTTTTTCATTTTTAGAACTGTGCAACTGAAGAATAACTGCTTGTCTTTAACTGTCCCGTTTCACCCCAATTACTTACTTGCCACCACCTACTTGTTTGCCACTACTTACTTGCTTATATAGGGTTTCGTTACTTAAGTTCCAATTTTATGAATTAGTTTATTGTATGAATTTTTTAAAACCATAAGACTTTTGCTAATGAAAACATTGTTTACAAAAATAGTTTTGCCGTAAAAAAAAACATGGCTGAGAATCGTTTGAGGAAGTTCTGCATTTTTTGAGAAAACAGTTTTACATCGTTTAATAATATGGTTCTACAAAGTTTAAGAACAAGGTTCTGCATAAGTTAAGAATATTGGGATTAATTGAAATTTCTTTTCGAATTAAGTAGCTACACAGTTGTTTTTTCATTGCCTTATTTCATTTTTTATTGCTGTGCTGTATCGGCTTATAATATTATTTAATATATTAGATATTTTATGATTATTTTTGGAAAATAATAACTTCATCTTTTTTTTTCATTCTCTATAGCTTAAGAGCATAAACCAGCTATGTTTATGAACATAGATTTGCTTTGTTTATTGATACAAACTTTTTGTTTTAAAAAAAAGATATTAGTTGTGTATATACGTCGGTCTTTTATTTGTTGAACTCGTGTAGAAAGTCAGAAGCTTTCGATAGATATTAAAAAAAAAACATTCTTCTTATAATATCTTGTTTAATCTTCCTCGTATAATATGCATTCTTTACGCTAATTTCTTCTGACAGTAAAAATAATTTAAACAAAGTGAAAAGAAAAATTTACAAAATAAAAAAAAAACTGAATTTTTTTTTAATGAAAAAACATATATATATATATATATATATATATTTTTAGTTTACATGTCGTATAATATAAATTTGGAATCAGCAGATCTTACTTAACCATAAAATAATTGAAATAAAAATATAATATAAAATAAAACACGAAAAAAGTTAAATCTAAAATAGTTTAGATAATATACGATTAAAATATTATTATCTCAAAAATAATTTTGTATTCAATAAATGTGACGGCTCCAATGGAGTTGCATAACCCCCGAGCAGAATATTTAAGTCCTTTAATATCAATGTAATCGAGAACCTAATTTTTATAAAAATATAATTTTTGTATCAGCATCCTTCCTAAAATATTTCTGTATTCGTCACTCTATACTAACCGTTAAAAAAAATGTTTTAACATTAAAGTTTTGCACCATGGACTTTCTCACGTGTAAAAAAATAGTTTCACCTAACGCAAAATTTAATTAAATTTGTTATAACATGTAGTTTAGTTAAAATTTTTAAAGTTTTGAAAAAACATAATCTTTCTGTTTTTTCAAAATTTTATGATTATGATTTTTCTTTAGAAAAAGGAAAGAACATAATCTAACAATTTTTAAAAACAACTAAGTTTCAAATAAAAATTGACCGTCTTCTGGTCTTCTGGAACTTTACTGAATTAACTTTGAATAAGTTCAATTCAATAAGTCCTTTATTTAGCTAATTTTCTTTAATACTTGGCTATGAGTTTTCGTCATCAATGTCAAAGAAGCAACGAAATCAATGATTTTCAAATTGAAATACTATTTGAGGTATTAGAAGTGCAATTTATTAATATAGACTAAAAGATTTTTTTAATTACCAATTTGTTTGAGCTGCTCAGAGACGGATCCAGGAATTTTGTTGGGGAATAGGGGGATGTTGAAATATTTTTATACTTTGTATCCCATTTGCGACTTCAAAAAAAAGGTTCTCC